TCCATCATGCAAACGGCCCGCCCCTTCCTCCCGAGTGCAAGTCCCCCCAGCGAGATTTTTGCACGAAGGCGCCCCCCCGCTTTTTACCGGCTCTGGATTTCTTCGGCCACGAAATCTTTGCCCGACTTTCTCTTCCCGCTAAACAGCAGCACCAGCTTGGGACACGGAGCCATGGCGCGAGGTCTCCTCCGCAGCAACTTTCTCCGGCGCACCCCTGCCCGCCCCGATGGTCTCGTCCGGGACCGAACGTTCCATCCGCGCTCTTCCGCCTCCCTCGCCTCGCACCAATGGAAACGTCCCGGGCTCCGCCGCCCGCAGAGCGGGCGCAACCATTTCGGAGGGGGGGAGGAGGACAAAGGGAAGCGCCCAGCAACGCATAGGCAGGGGAGGGGGGAAGAAGGCTGAATCACGGGAGGAGGCGGGGCAGAGCACGCTCCAACGGGGGAGGGGCTTCCTCACAGCCACGCCCCCTAGTGGTGGGGAAAGGTGCACGTGTGCACGGGCTGCGAAGTTTATTTGCACGTTCGCGTTTCGAAGCTGTGCTTTCCATTTCGAAGCTCTTCCTCGCTGCGGCCCTGGAGGTGAAGCTAGACTACATCGCCCATCATGCACAGCCAAGTGGCGGTGGGGAGGGGATCGGAGCCCGAAGGCTAGAGGGAATTTTCGACGGGGGCGCGGGCGGTAGAAATGACCGCCTTTCTCCTTTCTGCAGCTGGCAACGCCCGGTCAAAAAGCGGAAGCCTGCGAAGTGTCTGAAATCTTCAGAGCAAAAAAGCATTTTTTTTCCCCCAAGCGGGATTTGCAAAGGTCGGGTAGATCTGCTCAGATGCCTGCTCGGTGCGTGCAATTCCTGAGGTTGGTTGCCAGTCGTCCGGTGGGGCTTCCGGGCTGTAATCATCAGGTTCACTCCTCCAAATGTCACCTATGCTGTCTGCGGGACAGAATTTGCTATTTTCCCCAACACCTTGGGAACTTTAAGATGGGTGGACTTCAACTCCCAGAATTCCCCAGCCAGCCATGCTG